ATAGAGGCAATAGTACAAGTGAAAATCTTTGGTAAATATTAAAGGATTCAAAAAAAGAAAAGTTTCATGTGGCATATGCTATAGAGTTGAATTTTGCTTGCACTAATTACTATGACCTGCTACAACTCAGTTACCTGTTCTGAGTCTTATATTTGTAGCTGGTGAAGACTTAATTATAATAATGGTAAAAAATTATCTAAAGTGCGTACTAACCAAAATATTATATACATTGTTTATTAGTCTGCTGCCTGGCAGAGAGTAGATTTTATGCACATATGTTTGAATGGAATAGATAAAACAGAATTCCATTTCCATATTGCCCTCTTTTGGTCTGCATGCTCCTATCATTACCACACTATGCCATCTCCTATATGGGGGGAATTATCACTACAAATTTCTATGTGTTTGTGTCTAATAGCAGGACAGTCAATTGTAAAATCAGAGCACTTAATAATAAAAATTATACATGTGTACCTGAACATTCAAAATTTTTTTTTTGGTACTGGGGATCGAACTTAGGTCCTTTCGCTTGCAAGGCAGGCACTGGAACCACTGAGCTAAATGCCTGACTGAACGTTCAGTTTTTGACTTAAAACACTTAAACATTCATTCATCTTTATTTGGAGATATGAATAATTCTTTTCTCAGAGTTTGTGTTGGCTGACTAGAGCCTCATGCTACACTTTCTACACACCCCTTCTCTGTAAGTATTGTCCATCCACTCAGTTTTAGAAATTAAAGATATCAATGAAACTAATCGATTATAAGATCCTTCTATATACATCCATCATTTTGTTTTTACAGTTGTCCTACCTGTTCCAAACTCTACAGTAGGTTGGTTTTATATTTTTTTTCTGAGTGTTTTTTTTGGTGTGGGGTCTCATCTTGATTAAGCCACCCCAAAGTACTCAATTTACTTTTCATAAAAAAGTAATGACTTTTTGTACTTATGCTCATTGGTTTATATATTTTGTTAAAATACCTTTTTAAAATTACAAGTACAACTGGGATAAGCTGATTCAGCAACAAACATACAGCTGACTTTTGTTAGGCATACGACTTCTCTGGGGAGATCGAGCAAGCAGGAGATGTTTTGCTAGAGGGCAGGCACAATGGGAACATCCTGGGATATCTGGAGTTTTCACAGAGGGAATGGAAGGTACAGATGGCTCTGCAAAGTGGAGACTGGTCAAAAGAGATCTGCTGTCCAAAAGGGTTACACAAATAAAACAAAATGAATGAAGATGTATGACAAGGTTAGACAAAGACCAAGGTATTGGTTTCCATGTTCATTGGTGAATTAAGTTGTCAGGCCAGTTGCCAAGCAACAACACAATGGCTAGAAAAGGCGCTGGAGAAGAGCTCACCCTGCCCACCCAGCACCTTTCCCACTCCCATCATCTGCTAACATTTGAGGGACAAAGAAAGAGAGATAGGCTTGAAATGGAAAACTCTTTAACACTGCCCAACAACAAACATAGAAGCTGAGAAGAAGAATGAAGCTATTGGGGATGGGGCCTTAAATGCATTTTCAAGGAAAGAAGTATAGAAATGTGAAGAAGGAATCCTGGACTGGTAGAAGCACTAGATTTCAAGACATGCAGGTTCCCTTTAAGCACAAGTGCTCTATGCCAAAGAATGGTGACGGAATGGGAGGAGGATGAAAGAAAAAACTACAGAGAAAATGTCATTTAATGCTCTATAAATCAAGCATAAGACACAGAAAGGGGTGGCCTCTTCTGTACAAAGCACTTTATGCTTCTGCACGCACCTGTACAGGTGGCCTAGCCTTTGCAGGAGTTCATCAGTGGTTACTGGAGACTAAATTACATAGAAATTTATTTTTAAACTCTTCTTAGGTTTTAAATATTATCAGCTGGCAAAGGAGCTACAGCCAGCATTAAGATGATCTCTATGACTGCATTTTTTTCATTACTTTCCCAGAAAATGTAAAAGAAAATAAAGGCCTGAGATGAAGAGCTCTATTAATCTTGCCCATCCTCTGTCCAGTAACTGAGTCCAGAAATTCTGTGTGGGAACTGGGGTTAACCAAAGATTGAGACCTAAACATCGAATTTTGGCCACACAGAGTTCTCTCTTTTTACCAAAGTGGAAATTTTTCAAGTAAAACACAGAGACCCAATTGAACTGGCTGAAAATAAGTTCTTCAAGGCTCCAGTTTTTTAAAAAATGTATAGAATACTACATATGTAGCCTTGAATAACTTACCTCACTAGTTACTCTCTAATTATGAAATCGACCTCATTTATTTTTCTCTGTGGATTTTTGCACTCCACTTTTGCTGTATCCTAAAGAAATGGCAACTAATTTCCAAAACATGGTTTCAGAAAAATAACAATATCATGTTCAGTTACCTAGCAAAATGTAAATTTCATTCACATTACATTATTGTTTATACATTTTATGTATCTCTTGTATAAAAACATGAGGAACTGAAATATTTCTGATTTTTTTTTCAAATTTGGGAATATTTACATATATTTTACCAGTTGAGAATCCTTAATCTGATAATCCAAACTCCCATATTCTCCAAAATCAGAAATTCTTGAGTGCGGATATGACTCTCAGAAGTTTCAGATTTTGGAGCGTTTCAGATTTTGGATTTCCAAATTAGGATGCTCAGTCTCTACCAGTATTTATGTGGCTCCTTCATGTGAGGACCACAAAGTCTGTTGCCTGGGTTTTCCCATTCCCCATCCTCTTCACTTTGTGGTCAGGGAGAGGCAGGCAGGACTAATGCACAGATGGTACACCTGAGCCACACTGACAGGGGAACAGGGAAGTTTGCTGCTGCAAGACTATCAGGATGTGGCTCACTTAGTCATGGCACTCAAGAGAAAGGGATCCCCCAGACCTGAGCTGGGCCTCTCGGAATCCTCAAAGCAACAAAAAAACATTCCTTGTTGTTTTCGTGTGTGTGTGCAAAGCTGTGTCAGGAAATCATTGTTCCATAGCAGTGAAGATTTTAGAGCTATTTGAATTAACCACACAAGACCCTTGAAAGATTCTGAGAACATTCAAATGACCAAGCTAGTAAATCAGTCATTTCATCTTGCTTTGTTTCCTTCAAGTCAGTAGTGAGCCTCAGGGAAACCCAAGAGCACGATTCTCCCACCAACTCTTAGGTTAAGAGAGACTTGAATCAAGCGACCACAGAGGTGCCTGGATTCAGCACTCTGTTCTGCTGTTTCGTCAGCTAGGAGTCCCTGACATCCAAACGACCCTGGCCCTTCATGAGATATTTTCTCCTGTTCTTCTGGTTTACCAGCTCATATTAGGTTCCTTAAGCCCAGACTCTTGCCATGTTCCAGTAAGAAGTGAATAAAGTTCCTTAGATTAAAATACCTAAATGCTTATGGGGAAAGGTCATTCTTTACCTTTGCTACCTCTCCTTCAAGGGGAGTGCTGTTTCTTTAGCCTGGGTCGCTTTTCCCAGGCCTGGGGTTTTCTGTAACATTTCCTGAGTTCAACAAAGAAGAGAGTGTGGAACAAACTGCTGTGTTTGGTTGACCACCTCCCCCAGCCTAAAAATAGTCAGTGTCGATCCCTGTACCAAAAGCAAACAATAAAAACCAAACAAACCACCCCCTACATACAAAGAACACTGTTTCTTCTGAGCATGTGTTTCCTGTAATTAGTGTAAAGAGTTCCTTCCATGTTCCCTGAAAGATCTTGAATTTTCAGCACAGGAGATAGATACAGAGGAGGAGGTAACGCCCCAAGAACCACTCTTGCTGGTGAGATCCTCTCTTCATGTCTATGTACTTCCTGAATCACGTATGCCAACTTCTGAAACCTTGCCTGCTTCCTGATAATTTTCCCAATTAATCTAAAGAGAGGTGGTTGTTTCACTTTTGGACATCACTCACCTAAGAGAATTAAGACTTTGGGCCCAGAAGATCTTCACAGAGGATGTCAATCTGCACATCCTAGGACTCTTTCCAGCAGATTATGAGCTTGTGGAGCCCTCAGTCCTGTCTGACCATCTGCGTATTTGTGGTGCTTGACTCCTAGTAGGCATCCAACGTGACTCTGCTACCTGAATGAATGAGTGATAGAATCATGGAACTCCATACATCACCTGTTCTCTACTTCACTACTTTTTTTTATCATCATTAAGTCTTAGAACAGTAAAACAAAGCTATCATCTATTCCTAAATATGTTTACCATAACCTCTGCATTTAGAAATTATAACTTGCCTCCGTGTTTCCTATCTCTTTTACCTGACCTTTTAAATTTTTTTACAATACTCATCTGCTAACATGTATTTTTCCTACAACTTATTTATTTTCCTACTCCTCCAATAGGATTGTAAATCCCACAAAGGGCAGCATTTCTTGACTATCTTATTCAGAACTATGTATCAGATGCTCAGAATACTGCCTAGAATGTACTAAGGACTTAGTTAACTATTTATCAAATCAATAAAATGAAGGAATAATCATTAGTGCATTCTCTGTACATCAGAATTACTGCAGGGTTTTTTCTTCTTCTTTGTTTTGTTTTGTTTTAATCTCCAGACCCAACTTCCATGAAATCAGAACACTTAAGGGTATGAATTCCAGGAGTTTTCATTCCAAACAATGAGTCTAAGTGATTTGGGTGTAGCTATTCTGAGAACCACTAGTTCAACCACTCACTCTTCTAGAGAAATCCTGAACCCAGGGGAGACAGAGGGGCTTCCAGGTCACACACATAAGCAGCAGTCATCTAACTTTGATAATCTCTGTTCTGATAAGCTTTCAACTCTGGTTATCTATGACCTGGACCTAATATACTTGTTGCTAGCCCATCATAAGCCATGGGAAGCAAAAATGACAGCTTCTAAACTTACCTTGTGGTACATCTCAATAGTCGGGAAGGGGGAAGGGCATTAGACGGAAGCAGTAAGAGACTTCTTGATTCTAATATTGACTTCTCACAGAAGAACAGCCCGATTTCCATGCTAAGTTGTCCCTGTGGCTCTCTGTCCTTCTAGTTCCTGGACATCTCCATTCAGTGGACCACCCAGGAAACCGTTCCTCCCAAATACCTTCATCATGACCCAGAGACCTCTCGCCAGCTCATGTGCGACAAATGCCCTCCGGGCACCTACCTAAAACAGCACTGCACGGCGAGGCGGAAGACCGTGTGTGCTCCGTGCCCCGACCACTCCTACACAGACAGCTGGCACAACAGTGATGAGTGTCTGTACTGCAGCCCAGTGTGCAAGGAGCTGCAGTTCGTCAAGCAGGAGTGCAATCGAACGCACAACCGCGTGTGTGAGTGTGAGGAAGGGCGCTACCTGGAGCTGGAGTTCTGCTTGAAACACAGGAGCTGCCCTCCCGGACTTGGCGTGCTGCAGGCTGGTGCGTATCTGCTTCCAACGGGTGGTAATGCCAGTTACAATCCTGCGCAGCCAGGCAGCAGTGAGAGTTTCTGGGAACGCTTTTGTCCTCATGACACATATGATAGCAAATTGCAAAGGTAATGAGGCCTGTTAGATAGGCAGCACCTTTCTCAGAGGAATACTTTGCCACTACAGGATAACTTAGTGAAGAATCTCAGTTGCTCCCTAATGAGATGCATGACGGATTGCTCTTTTTTAAAGGAACACGCTCTGAGTTGCACCGTTCATACTTGATATACACCTCTAAGTTCACGCAGCGTGGACAGCCTCAGACTGCAGTGCTCTCTGACAAACATCAGAAATGTTAATTGATACCAAGAGAGTAATTATACTGATATTAATGAGGCTCTAGAGTGCTAACAATGAGCAGTTATAATTAATCGTGTAAAAAATGAGACTGCTTAGGGGAAATGCATTCCATTATTAAAAACGAAGCTAGTTCTTCCTTTAGCATGAGAGCTGAGTGCCTGGGAGGATAAAGACTATAGCAACTTCTCTGCCTGGCTTATTCTTTATCTTAGACAAAATACATCAGCCACCTGAGAGGAAGCCCTTGCCTACAAACAAAGTACTTTCTCGCTGCATTTCCACCAGCAGAGGTTAGGGCGAGTGTGCATTGAATCTTTTAAAGCTGCAACCCCAAGTTTTTCTACCGCCATCACATGTTCAGTGTGGACTCTAACTTCATGTGGCTTGAGAAGATTGAGTGTTCTCTTACTTAGCTGAAGAAAAGCCACAATCACTACGGGTCCTTATTGCTCACTTTGAAGCATGTTCCTCAACATTATTGACATGTAGGGCTGGACAATTCTTTGCTGTGGGGGGCTGTCTTGTACACTGTAGGGTGTTCAGCATCATCCCTGGCCTCTAGCCACCAGATACCAACAACAGTCCTCCCTCCGCTGCAACAACCAAAAATGTCTTCTCTAGACACTGTCCTTTGTTCTCTGGCTCGAGAACCACTGGCCTAGTGGATGCTGGTTATTTGTAGCTGTTCAACTTTCAAAAGTTATAATGTGCAGAGTCAATTATTAGATGACAAATGCTTTGGTTTAAAGGCATAAAAGGAAACATACTCAAAAATTAAAACTTCCCCCGTTTCCCAAGTACTGAATCCTAAAAACAAATTGATTACAATAGGTCAGTTTGCATGAGATGCCCTAAAATGCTTCTAATATGAACCTTTGAAAGAGGAGCTAGTAACATCTCCTACTTTTTATTGGGTGAGGCTTGGGATTCAAATGCTAAGACAAGTTGCAAGATGGAAAAACTCACTGAAAAACACCAAATCCATTTCTTCCAATGCAGTAAATAGTGTGAGTAGGGTAATTAAGCCCAGCCTACACAGCTCCGAAACTAAATTAAAAAAATAATGGAAACAGCAAGGATGTTTCCCTCATAAGCATGAAAATCTGTTTGTAGAATGAAGTAAGCAGATAACTAGAAGACTTACTGTAACCTGTCTGCTGGTGCTCAGGTCCTTGTTTTGGAGCAACAAAGATCAAAGCCTACAAAGCAGCAAACAGCAAGCGGTGGGGACTGGTCAAATGCATGTTCATTGGAAAGAATAAAAGTGAGGCTCTCCACCAGCCGGAGGGGGGTGGTCCATAACGCAGACACCGTAGGTCCCCTGGCTTTTTATACAATTTGGGGACAGTGTACAGGACAGAAAGCAGGGGCACTCCTGGTTGCAGGTAGGCCTTTGATGTCTGGAAAGTAAGCCTCTTCACCTGCATTTTATTTCCTCCAATGTCTCTCCCATTTGGTTGAGGAGATCTTCTTTGTCTCTTGCATTTCCTTAGGCCCAGATAGTCCATTTTGGTATGCTAACTCACTTAGGCCCCGACTTTTAGTTTACTTTAGGTTACCTGTTCAGGACCTGTTCCCTACCTGCCTAACTTCCATATCTCTGGGCTGCATTAGGACAAAGGCACATGTTTTATTCTGTGGCACCGGAGTGGCAATTATTTGCCTCTCCTTTTCTACACACTCACGAGGTGCTTCCTCACAGAAACTAATAGGTTTCTAGCCCAAAGAGAGGCAGGGCTTTGCAGTGTTACTCTGTAAACCATCCAGTGAACACACTCTTTCATTTCTGTTGTTGCTCTTTTAAAGTCAGATTGTCTTCTATTTTATTCATGTCATTCTATCTGCTCGTCAGCCCTCTAATTCCCACGGAATTACCTGTGGCCGGTGTGGAGAATTTAGGAACTGTAAGGCCACACTCCTCTCATCTTTGGAATAGTTCACATTTTGCCTGCCGGGTTATAATTTTTTTATTTCCACTGACATTAATAAGGGAAAAATTGTTACTTAGATGAATAAATGTTACATACAAAAAGTTTTATCAAATATAAAGAAAGAAGTCCTATTCATAAAAGTCATGAGAAGCCTGTAAAATTCTGGCCCTATGGCTCTGGGTTTCCTGAATAAGGAATTTTAAGGGCTAACTTAACTTAGCACCCTGTGTCTCCCACACACGATTTTCTCAGTGGGATGCATGAGGAGACCCAAGGAGCACACGTAGGTCTGACAATGGTGAGATTCTAGCCTGCAGCCTGCGGCATTTGGAAAGGAGGGCAGTTGGGTCCACATGTCCAAGTTGCTCACTCAAATAAATCAGCAGTAAATAAATGCCACTGGATTCCTAGCTAAATATCTCTGTCAATGAAGTGTAGAATTTGGTTCTACAATTCTATGTAAGGAAAAGAGTATAGGAAGAAAGAAAATTTAAAAAGAAATACAAAACAAAACCTCTTTGTTTTTATCCTGAGATCATGTCACAACAGTGATGGAAATAGCATTTAATCCCCTGAAGCTGTGCCCTCTCCCTCTCTCTCTCTCTCTCTCTCTCTCTCTCTCTCTCTCTCTCTCTCTTTCTCTCCCCTTCCAGCCTTTTGTCATTTTTACAGGTCAACAAATCACCAATTTTTTTTTTTGGTACCAGGGATCAAACGCAAATCCTTGCACTTGCGCAGCAGGCATAGAAACCATTGAGCTAAATCCCTGGCCCATGAATCACCAATCTTTTTAGAAAGGAAAAAAGACAGGAGATGAAACTAGACCCAATCCAATCCATTTTTGCACCCCCCCCCATTTTTGGTAGAAAATATAACAAAGTAAAAGGTTGAAATTTTTAATAAATGAAGTTGAATAACTTCATGTAGCTTTCATTTGTCTCTTGTGTTCGTTATCTTCATAAGCCAGAATTAGCCCATAAAAACTACATTTGAATACTGAAGTCTAATTCTGTTCAACTAGCTTACACTAGATGGAGTTGTTTTCATATGCAAATACATTATAATGTATGATCTACCCATGCAGAATAGAGTCAAGGGTTTGAAGATATTTGTTGTCAGCAGCATCTTTAGTTGTTAGCCCAGCTTAGATTTTCCTACCAGTGCTTTCTCCAAATTTATCAAATACTTTACCGCCGTGAAATAAAACGGCTTTGCAGTTACCCTTTCTGAAGTCTTAATGGCTGTGCTCTTTAAGCAACTGTGTGAGCAAAAAGTAGATCATCTTCCATTTACCGTGGAGCTTCACTGCAGGCTGATGCTTTGGAGTCAGCCGCCAACTTTACAAACACCTTCAAAACTTTACTATAATGTTGTAAATTTTTACTTCTCAAGGTTAACCTGCCTATGAGTTGCTTCACAATTAAGATTCAGAAGTAAAGAACTGCAGTAGGAACTGATTGGAATTTAACGATGCAACATTCAATAGGAGCTGATTTCAAAGAATGATGTTACGGCAGACACACAGCAGTTACCTTGATGATTTTTAAGGAATCATTGTGTGAAGAGAGTGGCTGACAACAAGCCTTCCTACCACTTTAGCAGAGGCAGGACTGATGAACACTGTTCCTTTCTCTTTTCTTCCCACTTTTCAAGAGTGTGCTGTAGGTAAGAGCAAAACAAATTCGCATTTTTATTATAGGAAGGGGAGACTGCCCCGCCCCGGGCTGACTGGAGAAATCTGTTCTTTCCGTCCAGTGAAGTGAAAAAGGAAAGAGCATACAGTTTTGTGTACCATCCTAGTAGCGAGAAACACCAAGTCTTCCCAAAACCGTGTGAAGAGAGTGTCTGGTGTGAGGTGTAGAGGAGGAAAGGGCTAAAAGATTTGGTGCTTTCTGCAGGAACCCCGGAGCGGAATACAGTCTGCGCAAGGTGTTCGGATGGCTTCTTCTCCGATGAGACGTCGTCTAAAGCGCCCTGCAGAAAACACACGAACTGCAGCGTACTTGGCCTCCTGCTAACTCAGAAAGGAAATGCGACAAGCGACAGCATATGTTCTGGAAACAGTGAAACGACTCCAAAATGTGGAATAGGTAATATAGTTCGGTCGGCCTTGGCATCCTTCCATCTCTGCATCTCTTTCTTAGTTGGATGCTGTGGCCTCTGGCCGTGTTCTTAGTCCAGCTCACATTCCCCCGCTTTACCAGTTACTAACTCCACAACTCCGAATCTCCTCTGAGTCCATATCTTCTCGCCAATAAAACCCCTGACCTTCTGTCCTTCCTTTCACACCCGAATCAAGTCTTAACCCATGGGCCACCCCATCAAGTTTGTTGCTTGAGACCAAATTAGCAGAGTTCAAAGTGTAGCATTTAAATTATGAATTTTTATCACTTTCAAGAATGTCCATATTAGTAAAGTATAAATTAGCAACTGAGAAACAAACTGCCATAGACTGATGACACATTAGAAATACATACTTGGCTTTGTTACCTATGGCACTGGTGGACTTACTGCATGAAAGTTCCAAGGCCCCTGGTTGTCTTAGATTCTTGATTCAGTGAGGGTCATTGGCACCAGGCTGCAGTCACCTGTGCACATTCCCTGGTGGTGATACCACTGGTCAGACTGGAGTGTGCTCCCTCCCTGTCCTCTTACCAGGAGCCTAATCTCAGGGCTCTTCACAGCCAAGGTGACCTGCTTGTGTGCATTAATAAAACAATGGCACGGGTCAGCGTGGCTCTCCCCAAAAGACATCTTTTCATACTTCATCGAAGTATCTTTCTGTACCAGAAGTATACGAAGTGTATGAAGCATAGGAATGTGAGTTGATATATTGACGATTCCAACATAAATCTAACATTTTCTCACTGTTTCGTAGAATTCTTAGACAAATCATTGAGCCTTTCTGTTTTTTTTTTTTTATCTAAAAAATGAAAAGAGGTTAAAAAGATTAACTTCTAACTTTAACCTTCCTTTTATTTACTTAATTCATTTTGAATTTTAGTTTTGCCATTAATTGAACACTGAGTCTGTGCCATGTGGTTTTCTGTGTAGGCTTTAATAGTTACAAAAACTCTGTGCAGGGGGTTCGGGGTTCATAGCAGCGGTGAGAGGCAGAGCTCGAATTTTAAGTCCTGTCTGATTAAGCTAAAGACACACTCCTAACATTACAGAATGTTTACTATTATTTAATGTTACAGTTTCATCGACTGTAATTTAAACATATATGTTCACGTCGGACCCTAATTAAACTCTCCCTATCCCCAAAGTGCCCCCCAAATTAGAAAGCACATGAGCTCGATGGTTTCTTCCACTGACAGCATCCAACAGAAGGGTTTGTTTTTTTCTTGAAACTTTGCATTTTAACATATTGCATCTTGGAGCACTCATTTGTGTGGGTTTTTGTTGGCTTTTTAAAAGACCTCCAGCAATCCAGCTGTTGAGTAGATGTCCTTGGTTTTGTGCCCTTTGTTCAGACGTTACGCTATGTGAGGAGGCTCTCTTCAGATTTGCTGTTCCTCCGAAGTTTACGCCTAACTGGCTCAGCGTCCTGGTAGACAATTTGCCTGGAATCAAAGTCAACACAGAAAGCATAGAGAGGATAAAACGACGACACAATTCACAAGAGCAAACTTTCCAGCTGCTGAAGTTATGGAAGCAGCAAAACAAAGACCAAGATATGGTTAAGAGGATCATCCAAGGTACACACTTGCCTGAAATAAATGAGTCGATCAGAAATCAAGTTCATCTACTTGTTGTAACAGAGCCATGAGGCTGTGTGCCTCTGTGGTCGTGTGGGTGATGTTTCCCCCTTTGTCTGGAGTTACTGTTGGGCTGAACGATGTTTCACCAAGTGATGAGGTTGATGCTAGAGAGCAGTCGTGGGAAGCTTTATTCTTGCTTCTGCCCCCGTTTCTCTTTAAAGGGCATTCAATGCTCTAAAAAAGCAGAGACTGTGCTTCCAGTAGAGCCCTTAACTCTTTCCTTAGCCACCCTCCTGGCCGAGACCTAGCAGGTCTTTAGCAGCTTTAGATCTTGGCTCTCATTCCTACTCCAAAGCCGTGAGACATGTGTTTGGCAGTTCTTTCCAGAGAGGTGCAAATTGTCTTACAGATATCCTCTCGCTAATCCTCACAGAGTCTCTATTAAATTACCATTTTATAGCAAAGGTGGTCAGGATGTGTAAGATCTGCACTGCAAAGTGCTTGAGCTTCTTAGAAGAAAGGGCTGGTTAAGACCGTGCACTCTTGTGTCCTAGAGGTATCGAAGGTATCTTGTTTAGAAATGGCGTGGAAGAGAGGAGAGGGATACAGAGAGGGAAAGAAACAGAGAGAAGATGCCTAGGTGTGGCAGAAGAAATCCCAGAGAGGAAATAAGCTTCACTCTGTGTGGACTAAAGCTTTAGGATGCGTCCCGTTAAGGCTTCTTTGCCATGGTGAGGACACACCAGGAAAACAAGGGCAGGTTCTCCTAATGTAGACAGTGCCAAGGAGAAATCCACTGGCTCTTCCCAAGCCCTTAAGTGAGTTTTTCTACACTTTTGTGAAAACCTCAAACATCTGAAACCCGCACAATGGATTTTAGGAGATTAATATCTTTTGACAGCTAAATGCTTTCAGTTATGCAAAGAATAAACTTCTCTTCTGTTTGTGGTGAAACAAAAGTATTCTTTGAATGTATAATTAGCCCCTAAGCAAAAAAGAGAGGAAAACAGAATTAGAAACTGTTAGAATGGGAAGGGATTAAATTTCTTACTTTATAAATGAGGACATTGGAGCCCAGAAAGATGAACTGACTTGCCCTAAGGCTCACAGATACTAAATGACTCCTGTCGTTAACAGAAACATTAGTTATTCCCTCATATGTTTATGTCCGAGCTCATTGCTGAAACTTCCTCCAGGCTATGTGTATTCTCCTATTCCTGGCTTTTCCGATATCTGTCTCCCAGTGGAACTCCTCTAGAGCTGCATTTATTTATTAAAGACTAACTAAAGCAACTCTTTCCCAATATGCTTACATCAGATATCAACTGGTAAAACTTTACATTATAAAATAGTAATTTTGTAACATAAAAATAGTAATTTTTAATGCAAAAATTTATATTATAAAATTACTAACTTAAAATTTTATTTCTGTTTTCCTGAAATGTTACAGTTTTAAGGTCTCAATCTTGGAACACTGAGAGTGATGCAGCTACCTTTCTACAGTTAATTTTCAAAATTAGGGGCTTCTCGCAAAGCTTTGTTGGATGCCTAGGATATATAGCATATTATCCTACTATAACGCAGAATAATCTCTCTCTTAGCTCTCAGAAATAGCTAGTGTCACTTAAGCCACCTTTAAGAAAAAGAAGAAGAAAGGAAAACTTATGCTTAACATAAAAATTATGAATTCTGCAAGAACCTTTTGCCTCGGGCTGATTTTGTGATGGTATTAGATGAATATGAATGACTGAACATCTCTTTGGGCTCTTGTTTTATGCAGATATTGACCTCTGCGAAAATGGGGTGCAGCGGCACATTGGGCATGCAAACCTCACCTTTGAGCAGCTTCGCAGCTTGATGGAAAGCTTACCAGGGAAGAAAGTTGGAATAGAGGACATTGAAAGAACAAGAAAGACATGCAAATCAACTGAGCAGTTTCTGAAGCTGCTCAGCTTGTGGCGAATAAGAAATGGTGACCAAGATACTTTGAAGGGCTTGATGCATGCGCTCAAACACTTGAAAATGTACCACTTTCCCAAAACTGTCACCCACAGCCTGAGGAAAACCATCAGGTTCCTCCACAGCTTCACCATGTACAGACTGTACCAGAAGCTGTTTCTGGAAATGATAGGAAACCAGGTGCAATCAGTAAAAATAAGCTGCTTATAACCGGAAACGGTCACTGGACTCTTTCCTCCCAATGGGCCAGATCTGCTGGGTGATTAGACGGTTTCTCAGGCACCTGGGGGAGAACAGCGATTTCTTTCTCATCACCAATGCCTAATTTTGCCACAGGGCACTAAAAGAAACTATGATGTGCAGAAAGAACTAATGTCTCCCCGAAATTTCAGTAAATCCCAAAGAATTCATCCAACTGTCAGATCTGGCCTGGTACCTACTGAACATACTTTCTCCATTACTGCTTGCAGTAATTCAACTGGAATTAATAATAATGATGATAATAATAACTAGACTCCATTGTACCTTTCTAAATATGGGAATGTCTGACTTTAATAGCTTTGAGATTTCAGCTGCGCTAGAGGCTTTTATTAGAAATCATATTTTTTTTCTGCAAAAGTTGCTAATATATCTGTAACACTATTACAGTATTCTATTTATATTCATTCAGATATAAGATTTGTACATATTATCATCCTAGAGAGAAATGGTGTAAGACTTAATTTTAGGAAGAAAAATATATTCTGTTTATTATTATGACAAATGAGAGAGATAAAATATATTTTTTAATGGAAACTTTATAGGATTTTCTAATAGGTATTGCTATTTTTCCTGTGTGGAGTGTTTTTACAATTTAATTTTATCTGTATAGGCTGTAATATCATTTTATAGAAAATGCATTATTTAGTCAATTGTTTAATGTTGGAAAGTGTATGAAATATGTTATCTGAATATCAGATGCTCTGAGAAATTGAATGTACTTTATTTAAAAGATTTTATGGTTTTACTATATATAAACAACATTATTAAAGTTTTCAAATTATTTTTTATTGCTTTTCCTCTTGTCTTTATTTGAATGGGTCATTCATGGGCTTTCAAACTCCGTAATTACCCCATTCCCCTCTGATCACTAGGACACACAGGAGTTATTAAAAATGCAGATTCCTAGACAAATCTGCTGAAAATCTCTGGGCATAAGGAGAGAAACGTGTATTTTTAACAAGCTCCGAAGTAATTATAATTACACTGAAGCTGAAGAACTTCTGAAGTCAGATTTAGTGTGCAGATGGTGCAGGCCACTTACAATTGTTGCCACAAACATTGAGAAACCAAACTATGGACGCTCTCTTGGCTGCAAATAATAGAAACTGGCACCTCTTACTTTCAAAAAAAGAAATTGATTGGGTTTAATGGTGGTTCCCCCAAAATATGTGTTTATATCATAATCCCAAGAATCTGTGAACGCTACCTTGTTCAGAATAAGAGTCTTTGTAGGTGTAATTAAGGATTTTTTGAAATGAGGGAATCAGACTGAATTATCACAGTAGGCCCTAAATCCAGTAACAGTGGTCTTCATGGGAGACTTGCGACATGAACAGACAGAAGGTGATGTGGAAGAGAGGCAGTAGTGGAAGTGGTTTACCTACAAGTCAAGAAGAGGAGAGTTAGGTTTGCCCCCAGAGTCGCTGTGGGGTGGGCAGCCTGCCCATGTCTTAGTTTAGGATCTCTGGCTTCTGGAACTGTGAGAGAATAAATTTGCATTGTTTTTAGCCAGGCAGTTTTTAATAATTTGCTGTATCAGCCACAGGAAATGAATACAGATGGCATCCAAGGTTCAGAAAGGGGCAGAAGAAGACCGTCTTCGGTCTCACAGGAGCTAAAGTTCTGGCTCTTTCTCCTAATCTTATATCTCTGTGTCTTTCACTCTAAGCTTTGTATTTCTAGGAGAGAGGCTCTGATTGTCTTGGGGTGTGATTGATGTAAAGACATGGCCGAAGGGAACCTGTCCTTCCTTGTTTATGAGGACCAATTTCCAAGAAGCGTCTTCCTCCATGAACAGGGTCCACTACCTTCTGTCCTTCCCTCGTTTTACTGTGACTTACTAGAATGTGATATTGGCATGAGTTAACCTAATGTTTGTGAAACCCTGTCAGTCATGGTCAGTTTCATAGTGGGGTAGATCCAGATAAATGAACTCGGAGAACAGACATTCCACCATTGCCATAGTTGACGGGGAGACACCATGGGAATCAAATTTAATCAGGAGGGTTAATTTAATCAGGAGACAGGGCTTAAGTAACACCCTACACTTTCCCTTCAGAAGCTCCTGTTCATCTACTAAATTTCTCATTTTCAGAAAATGAAATGGTCCACAGCAGCCAGATAAATTTACAAAAAGTTAAAAAAAAATGGCGTCAACACTAGGTTATTCAAACTCTTACTTGCCTGGCCTCCTTGGCTGCTCCTTGGAGCCAATTTACCTCAAGCTCCTCCTTCAAGTGAGATAAAATACAAAAACATCATGTCGGTCTAGTTTTCTTTTCTTTTAACTTAATTCTGAAAGGATTTTCTTTAGCCTTAGAATCAGAATTTTTCTTTTTATTGAAAATGATATTTAGAAACCAACAACTGGGTGCTAGGTGTGTTCATTGCTACTGAAAAATCATTGCTTCTAGGCCTTCTTAATGGACAGAGCTAGTAAACATATGCATAGAAATTAACCCGAGTATGCATACATACATATTTATGTGTATATATGTGCACTGCAATTCTATCAGGTATGTATGCGGATCCAGTGAGCTCATTATAGCCTTCATCTTCCTCTTCTCTGATTATTCATAATTTCTCTCTGAGAGTAATAAACATGGCTCACATTAAAACTTATTTATTTGCTTGACTATAGATACATACAGTATTTTCACAATTGCTCATAGGGGCCCCACAAGAAATTTACCAGCAGAAACCCAGGGTCAGTAACAGGATCTTTTGTCTCTAGAGTTCGTAACAATTCCATCAGCTACCAGCACCTTCCAAGGAGTCTGTCTGAGACTCTCCTTAGCCTTAACTTTCCACTTAAATGCCTTGTCTCCTCTGCAGTCTGTTCTCTCCATGGACTCCTAGAAACCACTCTGCTCTTTTCCATCCCTGTAATTTTGCCTTCTCCAAAATCTCATGAGAACCAAATCATACAGTATGTTACCTTCTTTGAGACTTTTCTTCACTTAACAAAATGCATTTCTGATTACTTATATTGCTGTGTGAATCCATAATTTGTTCCTTCATATTTCTTAGTATTGGATCAAAAGGATGAACCAGAGGTTTTGGTTATCCATTTACCAGCTGTCATGCATTTTAATTGTTTTCTGTTTAAGGTGATTATGAATAAAGTTACTACAAATATTTGTATACAGACTTGTGTACACAATTTTTAGCACACATAGGTAAATACCAAGGATTAAGATTTCTAGGTAATCCCCTAAGTGTATGTTTAACTTTGTAAGAAATTGCCCCTTTTTTCTAACTGGCTGGACCACTTTGTATTCCCCCCAACAAGTGAATAAAAGATATTTTTGTACAACATTACCACTCCCTCACATTGTTGGCTTCATTTATTTTTATTTTAGCCATTCCTCTACTGTGTAATGACTCCCTGCTGTGTTTTTAATTTGCATTTGCCTGATGATTAACTGTAGTAATCTGCTAGGGTTGCCATAACAAAATGCCACACACAGAGGTGGTTTAAACTATGAAAATTTATTTCTCATGGTTCTGGAACTTGGAAATCCCAGATGAAGGTGCTGTCAGGGCCAGTTTCTGGCAAGGACTTCACTCACTAATGGCTGCCTTCTTGCTGCATTCTCACAAGGTCTTTCCTCTGCAAACACAGAGAGCTCTGGTGTTCCTTCCTTTTCTTATAAGGACTCTAAGATTTTCCTTAGCCTATCTACTTAAAGATCTTGTGCCAAAAAAATCATTAAAGTGTAGGGCCTTACCATATCGAGAGGACACAACTGAATCCATAACTCTAATGATGTTAAGCACCACTGCATATATTTATTGGTGTCTGTATACCTTCATTGATAAAGTCCTGTCAAGTTCTTTTGCCCCTTTGAAAATTACATTGCTTATTTTCTAAGCATTGAGTTTTAAGAATAAGTTCATATTCTGAGTAGTGGTCCCAAACATGTTATTTAGAAACCTAGTTGCTCAATCTATGGCTTATCTTTTAATATTCTTACTATTTGTTTGACAAAACAGAGATTTTAGATGCTAATAAAGTTTATCATTTCTAACATGAACTGTGGTTTTTGGGTCATATAAAAATATGTATCACCAAATCCAATAGATGTTGCTCTGTTTTTGTTCACCGTTTCATATTTGAAATTTAGGTGGATTATCTACTAAAAATTAATATTTTGTACAATTGTGTTGAAATTATTTTTTTGCATATGAACATCTAACTGTTCTAGTAAGGTTTCTGAAAAGACTAGCATTTGTCCATCAAATTGCCTTTGTGTTTTTGTCCAAAAGATCAGTTGATAATATTGGTGTGTGTATTTATTTTGGGGCTCTCAATTCTATTCCATTAATTTATTGACTCCATCTTTTCACCAATAATACCATATTGTATTGATTACTGTCATTTTATAGACAGTCTTGAAAGTATTTCTGATGATTGTTCTGTCCCTTGCAAGTGTGCTATTTTTCTTGCCTTTATGCTTCATAATTTTTTGTTAAAAGACATAGATTGTGAAGTTCAGTAAAAGCAAAGGTAGTGGTTGCTACACCTGGCCAAGAGGGTGCCTTTTTTCTTTCTTCTGCTAGCACCTTAAGGAAGAGCTTTGCATTCGTGATTTTTTTTGTTGTTGTTGCTATGGTTACACCAGTACACCACAGATTTTAAGTTTCTTTAGATAGGTGTTTCTAGGGTAGATATATATCAGAGCAATGTCCGTTTGATTCTGAGTTTGGGGTATTTCCTTCGAGCTGTGTCTCAAAGAGCTTCCCTTTGCACATCCTTGTTGCTCTCCTGTTCCTCTCTCCAGCCCCACAGTGGAAGGCAGTCTCTGCTATTCTGATTAAGGCTGTGTCTTAGATATGTCTTTTCCTGCCTGCTATTGTAGACTCAGCCCTGGATCATGCCCTGCTTCTCCCTCCTTCCTCCTGTTTGTTTGTTTGGTTTTTTTCCAGTTGCAGTGAAGAAATATCCTAATTCACCAGTATCCTAAGGCAGGGTTTTTGCTTTTTCTGTTTCCCTGAGGTCTCTTATCCTCTGCACAGAGCTACTGTTCTTCTTTGTCTTCTTCCTCCTTCCAAGGGTTTATGTCTCTAAGTACTCTTCGCAGTGCCAAATGAAGTTCATGGGGAAAGAGCCTGCAAAAGGAGGCAGACTCCCCGGGTTTTGTAGCCTTCAGGCTTCCACACTGTGCCACTACCCTATACTCAGTCCTCATCAATTTCTCGGCTTGCTGCACTCCTGCTGCTGCCCAGTTGCATGGACTGCAGGCAAGAAAGGGAAGCATACATTAGACTTTGGATCACTTACTTCCTCTGTGACCTCAGGTCTCCAGTGAGTTTTTAAAAGTCATGGCTTGGAATTTAGGTTGGTTTTTAGTCCTAAACTTGGGAGCATTATTAATGCTAACTCTCTATCTCTTCTGGTTCTATACATATAAGGGTAGAAGCCAAAACTTATCAGCCAATTTTGTTGCTTAAAGATTTGATGTAAAAGATCGGTTTAAAGTTAAAACTATTCCTCTGAGTCTACACCCAGTTTTCTCTTGTCCACGTAGAAGCACACACAAGTTGTGAAGTATTTTTGTTGGCTTGGTATTGTGGACTGAAATGTTATCTAGAAATAATTTTGAAAGTCTTTATTATAGATGTATCACCAAAAGCATTCTATGAAGTCTATTTATATAAGACACCATTCTATCTATTTTAAGTGTCTTGCTCAGTAGAACACCTTCGATTTTTACTTCTTGTTGAAAATCTCATTTGCTAATTCACTGAAAAAATTTTTTGAGTGACAAATTTAGAGCACTCACAG